CCCCCCGGGTTTCTTCTTCGATTTCTTGCTTTTGGTTCTTATTAAAGGGCGGCCTTGAGATATCATCTTTGAATCGACCGACCCAGTTAAATTCAGAGACATTTTTCTTTCATCTGTTTTCACTGCAATTTGGAACTCAGGTCTGTAATTTTAACAGTCCATGGGTCTACCAACTGAGCTCGGCCAGTGGGTGTCTTTCGCACTTTTGTGATGAATGCTGGATTTGTCTTTTTTCCACTCTCAGTATATGTTTCTCAATTTATTTATTTATAATGTTTTTACTCGGAAAAAAAAAATTGACTGGCCCAAACATCCCTGGCCCAGGACTGACCATGCATAGGTTACCTCTATTTTTTTGGTACTTGCTTTTTTTGGTACTCGCTATTTTTGGTCTTTGCTAAGTACGGCTTTTCTGCTTTTCTTATTGTCACTTCCAGAGTTCCTCTGTTTGTTTTTTTGGGTCTGTGCCTTGCTTTTTTGGTCTGTGGTAATTACAGCTTTTCTGCTTTTTTATTGTCGCTTCTAGTATTAGCAGGTACCATTACCAAGCTATTTATTGAGAGAAATTTTAAGACCCCTTTTTTTAATCCTGCAGGAGGAGATCTTGTTTTATTTCCACATCTGTTTTGGTTCTCCGATGACCTGAGAGAGCCCACTTTGCAAAATAAACAATAGAAATACACAGGACACAAACGTGCAGAGCACACTGAATCCATTCTTATGACCATTACCTAGACACAAGCCGCGTCGCCCCGCGCCGATGCCCACGGCTGAGAGGTACTGCATCAGTGTTCCAGTGTTAGAAGGGTTGGGACAAGTTCCGCCGAGGGACCGGGAGCAGTTCCATCGCAGAGGCTGTGGATGTTCCGTACCATGCGGATAGGGCAGTACTATGCGGGAGGCGGGTCGGGCCCATAGTACTAAACGGGGCAGCAGAAGGACTTGAGATGTCGGTAGAGTTGTATGATGTAGTGTGGGTGATAGAAAGTGGGTTGGGTGTCACTAGGTGGGGAAAAGGTCATCCTATGCGGGTCGTACCATGTGGCCGAGGTGATACTATGTGAGCTGGGTGGTGGTACTATGTGGGGTAGGTGGGCGATGCTACGTGCCCCCCCCCCCCCCCCCCCCCCCGCTTTCTTAAAAGAACACAGTACGGACGGGGAGCTGTTAAGCACTTGTGTAAGAACAGCAGCCCCTGAGAGAGCCCACATAAATCGGAACTCGCTTTTATTCTGTTCAGCTGGTTGCCTCTGGATTTGAACACGGGTATGTACTTTTATTTCTAAAACAACAAAATACACCTGGCTGCCTCTGGATTTGAACCCGGGTCGGGTCGCTAGAAACAAACGAGAAGACAACGTCGAGTGCATCCAGGCGTAGCAGGTTGCTATGTAGGTAGATTCGAACGGCCACTGAATTCGGGCGGGTATCTTCTGCGTACATACATCTGTCAGCTGTGGTAGGTACGTCTAAGCAGGGCGGGTATCTTCTGCGGACATACATCTGTCAGCTGTGATAGGTACGTCTAAGCAGTTCTGCGGACATACATCTGTCAGCTGTGATAGGTACGTCTAAGTTTGGAATCGAACTCTTAACGTGGTGGTCAAGAGTCACGGGTGGGTCCCCTGTCTCATCTGAACGCACCTTCCACGTATTTGTATTTTAACTTTTTGTGGAGGCAGCTGCAACGTGCCACAAAAGAAAGGGGGCACAAAGAAAGGGGAATGTTATACCTTTCTCGGCCTTTTGGCCAAGATCTAAGTGTAGTATCTGTTCTTCTGATCAGTTTAATAAAAGAAAAAGAAAAGAAAGGGGAATGCTCCGACGTGGTGCGACCTACAGCCAGCCCTACAGATGTACCAGAACTTGCGGCGCCGTTGAAGCCGTCACCACCACGCGGCCCACAGACAATGTATGCTGCTAAAACTCCGGCCAAGCGAAATGAGAAAAGAAAGTCAGCCCATCTCTAAACCGCGATCTGCCAAATGATAAACCGACGTGAACCCCCCCCCCCCCCCCCCCCCCCCCCCCCCCCCCCCCCCCCCCCCCCCCCCCCCCCTCCTTCCCAAAAAAAATGGACACTGTGTGAGCTCTCTGTCAGCGCGTGTCCCTTGAGACGGCTCCGTGGCACCCAGTTTTGCTGGGGCCGCAGCTGCCGTCTTGCAGGGAACGCTCGTTTCTTTAAGTATTAGAGAAGAAGAAAAAGATGATCTAAGCGGATGCCCGCTGCTCGCGGAGACCTGCTCCTCTTCGTCCCCTTGCTCCTTCCCCTGTTGTCTGCCACCTCATCTATGTCCCGCTCCTGTGTGTCCCCTTCATTGTCAGCCACCTCCTCCTCCTCCTCCTCCTCTGCTGTCCCTCAAAATGCTAATATACATGCATCGTCTTACAAATATTTATTCATCCGTAGATATATTATTAAGATAAGAACATAGACACACAGAGGCATGCATACACACGCAGGCACGGATGCACACACAGAGGCACAGATGCGCACTCCCGTTATTCAGGCCCATCGTCACTATTCCGCTCTCTCCTTCCCTTACAACCTGGTCCCCTCCCTCCGCGGTGCGCCCCTCTTCCTGCCTTGCAATCTCTTATTCCCTTTTAGTCTGGATCTCCCTACACGACCCGCATTCCTCACCCTGTTGCCTTGGCGTTCTTTCCACTGCGCTTCATCGGTTCCTGCATCCTCACCCTGATTGGCTGGCATTCCCACCTCCTCCTCCCAATCCCACATCCTGATCGGCCTCCTTCCCATCCGTGTTGCCCATCTCCTTCTTCGCAAGTTGAGTCCCCCACCTACACCCCCCTTCCATTTCCTTCAGGACCCTCGTTGATGATCCGTGCTGCCCATCTCCTTCTTCGCAAGTTGAGTCCCCCACCTACACCCCCCTTCCTTTTCCTTGAGGACCCTCGTTGATGTCTTCCCCCTCCACAACCTCCTTAACGTCGGCAAACTCATCTTGCATGCTTCATCCTATATGCTGATCGACCAGATCCTGACCCTCATTCTCCCGATTCTGCATCCTCCCCCTGCCCCTTTGCCATTCTCCCGCTACTTCATGGCGTACTACTCCTGCCTGCCTGACCGGGCACTTCTGCTTCGTCTCTCGTCGCATCCAATCCTGACTGACGAAATCCTGACTTTCATCCTCCTGATCTTGCATCCTCACCCTCTCTTCGTTCCTTTATCCTGTTACTCCAACCCCTCAAGATTTCGATGGTGTACTTGGGTGAAAGTTGTATGTGGAACCATGGATCCTATTTTCTCCTTGTTCAAGCATATCTGGGTCTTGATTGCTGCTCCTACTGTTTTGCAGCATTCCAATGGCAATGTCGTTAGCTTTCCGTGTATACTGTTGGGAACCCCATCAGCGGCAAGAAAGTTGAGGAGGGAAGTACTGAATTTGAGTAGTTTTCGAATGAATATGCCAGTGTTGACGGTCAGATTCGTCTGTGTGTGTGTGTGTGTGTGTGTGTGTGTGTGTGTGTGTGTGTGTGTGTGTGTGTGTGTGTGTGTGCGCAGAAAGAAGAAGGCTGTGCACAAGACCACAACCACAGATGATAAGAGGTTGCAAAGCACTCTGAAGAGGCTTGCACTCAACACTATTCCGGGGATCGAAGAAGTGAACATCTTCAAGGATGAAAATGTGATCCATTTCGTCAACCCCAAAGGTGAGTGAATGAAGGGGGTGGCACACATCCCGTCCCTCTGAGTGTGTCATTTGACATTCTTGTCTGAAGGACCCTGGGTAGGGTAGGGATCTGCTTGTGTGCATCAGGAATAAGCGTCTACCATTTGGCCCTGCATGATATCATATGTAGTGACGGAGCAGTTATGGCTCTCAAAAGAATGCTGTTGGCGAGAGTTAAGTGTTGTCTGAAGGACCCTGGGTAGGGTATAGGGTTCTGCGTGTATGCATCAGGAATAAGTGTCTCCCATCTGCCCCTGCGTGATCTCATATATGGTGACGGAGCAGTTATGGCTCTCAAAAGAATGCTGTTGGCTAGGGTAGCATTGCTTTCTGGTCTTGCTTTTCTTCCTCGACTAGTTCAACCGCAAGTACACGGCCCCAGCATTGCAGAAAGTTTTTGTCGCCACAAGCAAAACTCGGGAGGGGCTGTGCGGCGTGGGGCGCCATTGAAAAAGTAAATTGGCGGCCTTCGAAGTGGTGCAGGTTTCGTGCTGACACCTGCGGACCGATGCGTGGTGTACTGGTGCTTTAATTCCCTTTCGGCCACGGACATTAACCCTTAGCTGCTGTTTTTTGTGAGTGTGGTGGGGTTGCATGACAGCCGATAGCTGATACCAATCGCCAACGGATCCGCAACCTGCCGGTAGGGCTCACTGGTGGGCTGACTGCCGACCGACTGGCAGTGATGGACAAAGGGGCAAAACGATTATCAACGGCAAGTCGAGAAATACCGAGATGAATTGGGCAGGTGAAGGCTCTATAGACGTGGAAGTACAGGGCATACAAGGTTGAATAAATGAACAGATCCGAAAAGACTTTCATGAACAAAAGATTTGCCTCTTAGAAACTGTAGTGGAGTTGGAGGAGAAGAAGAATGCAGAGAAAAAGAGAAAAGAATTTGGACTGCGTGGGGGGCTGATGACCTGTCGACGGTTGCTGCCCCCTGTCCGGTTGGAATCCAACCAGTTGGATATCCGCAACCGATGTCGGTGCAACCCCTGAGCGTGGTTTAATTTTTGTGAGCACAAAATGATTCTAAACACGTTCGGTCATTTTTTTTTCTTTCACGGAGGGCTCTCTCTCTCTCTTTCTCTCTGTGTCTCTCTCTGTGACACACACACACGTGGACTAGTGCGTTCATCTTTGACTGTTCTTTCTCAATTGAAGGATGCGGAGTGATGCAGAGTGACAGCAGTAGACTCTAGAGTGCAATTTGTGTGGTCTCCCCTTCCTGCCAACCTGTTGATCAACTTTCTCTGCATAATGGACTGCGCTGTCGGGATGTGAACTGTGTGAAGTGACACGTTCTTTGTTGCGTGTATGCAGTGCAAGCTTCCATAGGAGCCAACACTTACGTCGTCAGTGGAGCTGCACAGACAAAGAGTACGTATGATTATGACCTACCTATCTCTACCTACCTACCTACCTACCTGCCACCCACCCACCCACCCGCCTACCCACCTACCTACCTACCTACCTATCTCTCTTTCCCTTTGTCTCAGTTGACCCCTTTTCCTGAAAAACTCCTTTCAATGTGTTGTTGGGCAGCAGGTGTGTGAATGATCTGAGCTGATGAACGTGCGTTGCTGCCGTTCCACTGATTGTCGTCGGGGTGAAGAGATTGACCCCCGGTTGTCGTGTGGGTTTGAGATATTGGGCATAATTCAACCCCCGAAGACAATTGTCCCATCTGTTTCAATTACACTGGATGGCTATCTCTCGGGTTTTGCTGTGGTGGTGGTTTGACAGTATGGTCCCTAACATGGGCGTTTCTATCAAACACACACTTTCCTGAAAAGAAAAGATGAATTTTTACTTATTATAGAAAGTCGTTCCCGCACGTTTAGGTGCGAATCTGCACTATTATTCTATATTTGAGGTCCGAATGATGCAGCGAGGAAGTCAAGTGCAGCAGTCGTGAATCATCATTAGCTTTTTCCTTCTCTTATTTTTTGGGAAAAAAACAATCGTAAGATCTTCTTGCATTCGAATATTGACTTTTTTTTTCTGTGTTCTTCACCCCTTGTTATTTTGTTTGCAGAGCTTCAAGACCTGTTGCCAGGGATCATCAACCAGCTTGGTGGGTATCAGGGTCGCCTTCCTTCCCCAACCAGTAGATTCCGAGTCCCCCCCTCTCTGTCCTCCCACCCAACAGCCGACTCCCCATTCCCTTCCCTACACCCCCTTGGACCGGATTGTCGCACACAGTTGTGGTCCGCTGAGCTTGCTGGCTGTTGCGCTTTCTTGACCGTTTGATTGTGGTATCGGTGTTCGAGATTTGTTGTGCTTCTTCTTTGCGGTGTTGCGCATAGTGAACATCACAACGCACATGCGTATTGTATGCGTGCACACACGCATAATGGTGAAGGCAGGGCTTGGACCCTGGCACAGTTCGTCAGGTGCCCAACTGCCCAATGGTTGGAGTTGGGGTTTGAACCCAGGCACAGATCTTGCGCACAGATCTTGCGATTAACCACTGAGGGAGGTATACTGTGTCCCTGTCTTATGTTGGGCAGCTGTTTTATTTGAGTGTATGGTAGGTAGGTACATCTCTTTGAGTGTATTCCTTTGAATCCAAGTACATGTCTGCCCTCCCTTGAATGTGTCCTTTTATGTTCCCTTTTTTTTTTTTCCCTGCCAAAAAATGTTTGTTTTTATATTTTTTGGACCTTTTTCGTTTACAGTGGTGTTGTTCTTTATGATATACTCGCATTATGACTTTTTCAACTCGCGGCTCTAACCCTAATTTGTCGTCACACTATGTGTGTGGGGGGGGTGGTATTTGCGTGCGCAATGTTGGCGTTTACAGGACTTGGTAGCCTAGCAAATCTGAGAAAGGTTGCGGAGCAGTATAAGAGCAAAGAAACTGCGGGTGTGAAGGAGGAGGACGATGACGACGTCCCAGACTTGGTGGAGGGAGAGACATTCGAAGAGGCCGCCAAGGAGCCAGCACCTTGAGCAATTTGGTCCTCTCGTCTGTGGTTCCCGGTAGTGGAAAAGACCATGAACTTTTTTTTTCATGTCTCTCCTGTCATAAGGTTTTGTTTCTGTTCTGTCACCTCTTTCTCGTGTCCTAACGACAGCAGATGGCAACTTCTGTTGTCTTACCTACCTACCTTTCACCACCCTCCCCTTCTGCGCATGCACACGGAGAGAGAGAGAGAGAGAGAAGAGAGAGTCTGTGCGAGCATTTGATGTGTTCCGAAGCGAAGTCTTTATGATGTGAGGTTTTGTCGTCTTTGGAGACATAATGCGAAGCACATGTGCAAATCTCAGTGCCCATCAGAGAGAGGGTTTTTTGTTTTTTTGTTGAGCTCCTGTTGTGTGATTGTATGGTCAAATGGTGAAGTTGCGGGATCTGGAGTCTTGGCCTGAAGGCAGTTGTATTTCCTGGGACGTCAGTTTTTATTCCTCAGACTCTCTCAGAGCAGGCACGGGCAGCAACAGGGAGGATATGGTAGAAAGTGGCTGCTGAGTCTGTCGCCTTTTGAGGTTGTCTGTACCTGTTCTGCATGCCACTACTGTCTTGAGGCGAATAGAACGCCCTGTCATTATTGTTGTATATGGTCTGCAAGTTGCACCAAATACGGCTATACTGACGGGCCGTTCTATTTGGGTGAAGACGGTAGCATAACCCTCTGCGATGTGCATGTGCTCTCCATCCCAAAGCAATTGACGGCTTGGTTGATCTCTGCGCAAAAACTGGATGATTGTAGCGAGGTCCAGTGGAAGGTGGAAGGTGGGTGGTGGTTATATACGGTGGGTGGGTTATAGTGATGCCGTGAAAGGTGAATGAAACAATCACACTGCTGAATGAACAGTCTGATATATCCCACAGAAAGAATTCGGTATGCCGGTTTCGTGCGGGGGAATTACTGGCGGGGGCAATTTTTATTATGTGGTTGTTTCTTCTATCAAAAATTCAAAATGTATGTAAACGTGGTTTGATTTATTATGTGATTTTTTCTTCCATCAAAATTTCAAAATGTATGTGAACGTAGTTAGTCTGCTATACGGATGGGCGAGGTGTTGACATGGCCTGTCAGGCTACCTTAGCTGGGACCCCACCATTTCCGCTAATGGAACAGCAGGTGCTTTTTTTTTCTTTTTTTTATTCCTATTAAAAAAAAAAGTAATCTATATTCTTCTCTCAATCTATTTCATGTTTCTTGGTAGTACGCACCTATCTCACCATCTCACTAGTCTATTTATAATACGGGGGAACACCAACCAACCCGGATCTCTCCCCAGCCCATGGGGTAGGTTTGCACCACAGCTGTGGTGCGAGAGGAAGGCTGTACCAGTCCCTCATCACGGTGACGAGGGGTGGGCAGGCATTGCCGATGGCGGAAATCGGCGGTGCTAGCGCCGAGCTTGCTTTTGCTCTGCAACGTTTTCAATGTTTGTGTAGGGGAGGCTGTCTGACGGGAAGGGGGTTCTTTGAGAGGTCGTTTTTCTAACCCCCAGTTGGGTGTCTGATCCCACTTTTTTTTTTTTTTTTTTTTTTTTTTTAATACCATGCTGCCACGCTAGGAAGGGTGATACGAGCACCCCCTCCTAGTTGGATCAAGCGAATGACTTTGCCTTTTTTCTCCCCAGTTGAGAGGGAAAAAGAGGCAGGAGAAGAGTGGAAGGTATAGCTGCTACCCTCTGGAGGACTTTCTTGGGACTCTGCAGACCATCCCATTGTTTGCAGGAAGGTCGGTATTTTTTTTTTTTTTTTTTTTTTTTTCCCCATCGGCGCCAGCTGAACAACTGTACAGTGATTAAGTCTGACATCCTTGTTTTGTTCGGTTGTGGTTGTCTTTTCTCATTCTGTTTCAAAGTGTAAGGACTTGTGCTGTGAAGTGTTGGGGCTTCTCCTAGGTTGGGAGCTGAAGTTGTGGTTCTAAGTGTGTGTTGATACTGGAACTTTTAGGCTAAGGTTTAAACCACCCCTCCCCCCGACACCCGAAAAACGATGGCCCTCCTCTCGGTTAGGGCTGGGTTTTACGGAGGGGCGTCGACCGTTTGTCACTGGCGGGTCCAGTCCCACGATTTGAAAACAGCAACTTCGGCGATTTTTTGTGCTCAGAAGCTCTTCACGAAAAACTCTGAAAATTTTAGGGTCCGTAGATTAGGTCGTGGTCTCTTATGAAAAATAATAGAAAAACAGAAAGAAAGTCTTCTTTATCGTGAAATAATCACCGCACCCATTCGGCGCATTTCCATTTTTGGCACTGTACCGTATGTGGGCCAACAGAAAAAGTAACCCCAACTTCAGTGATTTTTCGCGCTCAGAAGCGTGATTGAAAAAAGCTGAAAATTGAATGGCCTGTAGATTTCGATGTGATCTTTTTGGGAAAAAATATTATTTAATTAAAAAAAAAGTGCTGCAAAATAAATCGCGGTGCCATTTTGACACGTCCATTTTTGCCATTTAGCCCGGTCTCCACACTAGGCTACTGGAACCCCTCCTGAAACTGTGCGACCGGCCCCCCAAGGTTTTTTGACGTTGGGGGGAGGGGTGGATTAAAGAAAGTCTCCCAGCCTCACACCCCTTGCTTTCCTGTCATCACAGAGGGTCAGCGCTGTTGTTGAAAAAGAAAGAGGCCGCACTTCGTGTCCATCCACCCCATCCTCCCCCCGACCTCTATCTTGGCTGCTGCAAGCACTGAGTTTGGTCCTCAGTTTGGTCCTCCGTCTTCTTGGGTGTTGATCTCTCGCTTCGGTCTTCTATCAAGCTCCGCCAGTATAACCTTATGCTGCGTGAGCATACGGGGTTCCATGACACCATGTTTTGCTTCCATCATCATTCTTTGGGCCCAGCTCTTTGCGTCCCGTCATTGCCGTAGCACCACGTTTGGGGAGACAGTGGGTGTGATTTCTGTGAGGGTCCTTGCTGTCTACCACAAGCTTGCTTATGCCATGGACTGCCTTTTCCGTGCTGCATGGTGGTGAAACAGTCACGGGGCAACTGAGTACTGAGCATTGCTATGGTCATAGACTAGGCGTGAGACATCTCTTTTTTTTTTTTTCGGTGCTCTACAGGACCCACCACCGCTTCCCACCTCAAATGTTTCTCCGTTAGCGAAAACCCCTGCTTCTCCATCTACGGGGGCAATGTTAGCTTAAAACCCCTGCTTCTCCATCTACGGGGGCAATGTTAGCTTAAAACCCCTGCTTCTGCATCTACGGGGGCAATGTTTGCTCACGTCGGATATACTGGGCGGCAGTTGCCGGCACCAGCGCTAGGCCAAGACATGTCCCTTTTTTTTCTTTCTTTTGACCGCTAGGCCAAGACACGTCTTCTTTAGTGTAACACCTGCTTCTCCATCTACGGGGGGCACTGTTAGCCCACCTGGGATATAACAGGCAGGCACCAACACTAGGCCAAAACAAATCCCCTCCCAGCCTTAGTTGAAGTGAGCCACGGCGTATGGGCACTTCGTTCGCCAAATGTAGTCCTATACACTTTCCTATGAGCACCAGCCCAGGCTAGTCAGACAACGAACATTCCACGGAGCCGTCTTGGCAGTGTCCACTGGTCCTACACCGACCAAGGTCTTACCTAAGACAGCCCCTGACCAACCCGGCCGTCATGTTCCTAGCATAGTCTACTGTCACTGTGTTAGGTGTTATGTTATCGCTGTGGGGGCAGGATTAATGATCCCGTAACACGCACCAGTTTGCGGCACGGCCGATTCCTGCCAGGGAAAACCTCCAGCCCATTGCTCCCTGCACCCCAGTTGATTATCGTCTATAGATTCTATGGTTAACATGAGGGCATTATCTACCCCCTGGGCATTATCTAACCCCTGCTAGTGTCATATTGAGGTGGCGAGGTTGTTGATTCCATAAGCCGCACCAGTTCGTCACAGGGCCGATTCCTGCCAGGGAAAACCTCCAGCCGATCCCCTCCTTGCACCCCAGTTGTTTATCAGTTGTAGATTGTGGTAGCATGAGGGCACGGCCTACTCCCTGCTAGTGTCATATCGAGGGGGCAGGCGTTTTCGATCCCGTAACCCGCACCAGTTTGCCACAGGGCCGATTCACGCCAGAAAAAAAACTCTGGCCCATCCCCCCCACCTGCAGCCCAGTCCGTTATGGACTATGGATCGTGTTATCATGGAGGTATTATGTACCCTTTGCTAATATATGCGTGCTCAGACGTCTTCCACCCCCCATTCTTGCTAGACAAGTAAGAGGTCTCACCTCTCTTCTCCAGCCCAGTCCGTTATGGACTATGTGTGCTCACACGTCTTCCACCCCCCATTCTTGCTAGGTCGTCTGCTCTTCTCCAGACCCCTATCAGTTCCACTAAATGCTCCTCCCCGTAAGGAGGGCTACTTCGACTTCACCCTGGACTACCACCCCCTGAAGACTGGTGATGGGCACAAGCGCCACGGTATTACGCAAGTATTCCAGCAGAGCTGACATGACAGACAGTCCTACTAGACCTTGAACCCACAACCTCTCCCAGGTTATATTGATGCTCTAACCAACTAAGCTACTGTGCTTGCTGTCCTAAGATCTACCACAGCTATGCTAGTGTGGGGGAGTACTCCGTGGGGTGTCAATCTATCACCACCCGTGCATTCGAATGACAGGCTGAGATGAAGCGGCATTGAACCCAAAACCTGTCCCTTGAGCTGGTTGATCTTGCCCTGTTGAACTGGGCCTGGTCCGCTTGAAGGAAAAGAAACTTTGAAGGTCTGACTTTTTGTAGGGGTGTCCCCGGGGCGGGGGGGGGGGGTGGGGGTGGTGCATGGGTGGTCAGCAGGCCAGTTTAGAGGAAGGCGATGTCTATCAGACTCTATTAGTGGGGGAGTGTGATTGACAAAGAATGGCGGGGGATGGGGTAGGTCAAATGGTGATGAGAAGGTGATGTCTATAGGATTCTATTCAACCCTTCTATGGGGGAGGGCAATGGATAGAACGATGGGGCGTGGGTGAAGAATGGCACGACCAGGGGTAGGTGGATGGAGGAAGAACAATGGGGGATGGGGCAGGTCGACGGGGGAAGAACAATGGGGGATGGGGAAGGTTGATGGACGATGGAGGAGGGAATGGAGTAGGCAGGGCAAGTATTGAGTGGTGAGATGGTGTAGGCAGATGGGCGAGAGGGATTGTACATTGGCAAAAGGGGGGATGTAGAAAGGTGGACCGAATCATCAAAACAAGGTTCGAAATATAAAAAGAAGAGGAGAGGAGGAAGAAGAAGAAGAAGAGGAGAAGAAGAAGAAGAAGAGGAGAAAAAGAGGAAGAGGTAGAGAAGAAGATGAGAAAGTAGAGGAGGAGAGGAAGAAGAAGAAAAAGAAAAGAAGAATTAACTGCTTCGAGAAGAATAACAGAAGAAAAGGTGGAGGGAGGGCAGGGGTAGAACAGTTTCTCAACCCAAGTCTCTATCTCTCTCTCTAAGAAGGAGAAGATACCGTGCAGGGTGAGAGTCCTGGTCGCGTGATGTCCACCTGTCTCCACACGATGGTGTGTTCGGGGGGCGGGGGGGGGGAGGGGTGTCTGGCTCGGGTGCAGGCCATGACGCAGCTTTCGCGTTAGCGCAAGTCGACGGTGATTGTCGATGGTCAGCGCGGGCGTTGGAGGGGAGACCGAACTTCGAATTGCGGGAGCTCAAATCACCTATCCTCCCGTAGCCTCTCGTGCGGAGGTTGCCCCCAGCTAGGGAAAAAGGAACGAGGCTGGTAGACCCTGTGGTTCACCTAAGAACAGGTGGTGGGCTTCGACAGGCGCATTGGCTCTCTTAGGGAGGTGTTCGCCCCATTCTCCCTGACCCGGGCGAACATACATACGAGCGGTCTGTTGCCGCAACTAACTCGTCTGCTCTGTCAGAGTCTCTCTGAACATTGGTGGTGGCTATCCGCCTGGCGGACATGGTCAACTGCGAAATCCATGTACGTGCACAAGTCGCTGCCAGTGCTCCCGCGTAAAT